TGAGGGAGGTAGAACCGACTCTAACAACTGAAATAACAGGGGTGATAACGAAAGTTATAGTTTTATCAACAGGCTTTTATAAGTTCATAAGTTTTCAAACCAAAGTTATGTTCGTGCTTCAAGGTGCTAAAATTTTCCAATATTCATAACAAATCTTATTAAACCAGTTTTAAAGCAGGTTATAACTAAATCGTACGTGCTCTTAATGTAATAATTTAAATATTTTAAGTTTTAAAATTATATTTACTTAATTACATAAACATTTGTTGAATACATAACTGCTGATTAAACTTGTTTGTGTGTTTCAAAGCTTGAAAAAGACGTTCACCCTAGAACAGTTGTTTTCTAACCAATGGTTTCTATAAATAATATTATTACCTCTACTATATTTGTTGTGTCCCATCTAACCTACTGACCTCTGGATTGAGTAAAATGCGTCGTCGGCAATGGTTTTTGAATTTCACGGATATTTTCACGAGCCGTCCCTAATTTAGCAGTGATAGACAAGAAATGCTCCAGTGGCTCAGCGGTAAGTGTGATGGCTTCGATACCCGTTGTGGACAAAGCACAGATAGCCCATTGTGTAGCTTTGTGGTTACCATTAAACAAACCAAATCCGACATATGATTGTAATATATATAACCAGTTTTGATATATTATATTCGCTCAAAATCAGAAACATACTTAGGTTTTGGAATTTGACCATTCTGACTATCGGCATACAAATATGAAGAACGCCTTATTGGAAGCTTCTAAAAAATTAAGAAAAGTTATGACCATCATCGTATTTTTGAATATTGTAAATGCAGTAAAACTAGGCTTAGCTTTAAGCCTGGGCGAACGTTAAAAGCTGACGTATTTGGATGCTGTAAGCATAAAGTTTGGTAATAGGTTGATTTTTATTTACAATAACACAATAATTTGTCTGTAAGTATTTTTTTTTGTCAAAAAATAACTTGATTAAAGTTGATATAAAGACATGTTTCATAAATTGTTAGGAAAACTGACGACCAGCGACAATTCAGTTGTCCAAGAAATGACTTTCACTTATTGAACCACAGTCGTCGAAGTAAATCTTGAAAGGTCTTCACAATCAGGCCTCATCCATGTTGTTCCATTATTCTACAAAGTAAATCTTGATGCAATGAAAGGCCTTCACAATCAGGCCTCATCCATGTTGTTCCATTATTCTACAAAGTAAATCTTGATGCAATGAAAGGCCTTCACAATCAGGCCTCATCCATGTTGTTCCATTATTCTACAAAGTAAATCTTGATGCAATGAAAGGCCTTCACAATCAGGCCTCATCCATGTTGTTCCATCATTCTAATTTATATTTCTGTGCGCAAGAAGAAGGTTAATCACCAAAAATTAACTCAGCAGTTTAAAAGAAAATTAAGCGCACTACTTGTTTGTTTTGAATTTCGCGCAAAACTACACGAGGGCTATCTGCGCTAGCCGTCCCTAATTTTGCAGTGTAAGGCAGCTAGTCATTACCACCCACCGCCAACTCTTGGGCTACTCTTTTACCAACGAATAGTGGGATTGACCGTCACATTATAACGCCCCCACGGCTGAAAGGGCGAGCATGTTTGGAGTGACGGGGATTCGAACCCGCGACCCTCAGATTGCGAGCCGAGCGCCCTAACCACCTGGCCATGCCGGGCCTAAACGCACTACCCTTCTAATCGTGAGAATTTAAATAAAACTGTTATTTTAACTTGTAACTCCTTTTATTTTAGTCATACTTTACACCAATCACAATATTGATATCAAATCGGGTATTTTACTTTCATATCGAAGTACCCCCGCCTAGCCACCAGGAGGCGCTATTAAATCATTCTTTAACTTAATGTGTTCTGTGCCAGGTTTTCTTATGAAACAAACAAATATAAGTGTAAAGAAACGTGTGCTGTTTGCCCACTTAACATACCCCCCCCCCCAGTGGCACAGCGGCATGTCTGTGAAGTTACAACGCTAGAAATCGGGTTTCGATACCTGTGGTGAGCAGAACACAAACAGTCCATTGTGTAGCTTTCTGCTTAACTTCAAACAAACAAACAAACCCACTTAACAATTATTGAAGAGATTATCGCTAAATTTTAATCACTCCCTGATAAAAAAAAACGCAAACAAGTAAAAATAAGAATTGCAAATTGTTTCTGTAAAGTAAAGCGCGTTCGAAACGCTCGTCTTACTTTTATGTAACTCGGAAGATATTGGTTAGTTTTGGGTCCAGTTCAAATTACTATTAGTGGAGGGGGAGCATATGGTCGTTGAGATGTTTGTGTTGACATCAAATTGTAATTTGAGCAAAGCCAGGTAACTGCTGTATCGTAACAAAAAGGTTGAATTCAAAGAATTTCGACCATAAGTGTTTTATCCTCTTTGCAATTGTTTGAAGAGGATTAGGTTGACATATATGATTCTCAAGTTTTCAATATATTTGTACGAAATCTCAGAGAATAATTTGATCTATTATTTGCGTAACAATCGTATCTGTGCTTAGCCGCGCCAAAATGTCTAGACACGAATGTACGCGAATCTAGCCAATAGCAGCTAAGAATAGCTGGAGCTGCCCAATCACTTATACCTTGGTTGGTTCCATTATAAAAAGGGTAGTTGGTGGAAGTATTTTCATTTGTATGATAGATCCGTGTTTAAAAATATATTAATTTGTTAAAGAATTAAAAGGATATAAAGTTAACTACACAAAAGGAAATATTGATACACGTTAATCTGTTACTTAGAGTTACAAAAATGTGTTTTGTTAGATCTAGCTATTCTAATATCCCCCTTCCAGGAAAGCCCATTGCGCTTAGCGGTATTTCAGGCTTGTTGAGGCGAGCATGTAGGTACGACGTGAGTTTCTAAACGTGCGCGAGGGTTATATGTGAAGTTTGTACGTTTAGATTCGTTTGTGTGTGTGATGGTGAATGTCGATATAGTCCCTGAACTGCGGAGCAAAGTTTCTACTTGAGTGGGCTGTGTTTAGGAACGTGAAGCTAGTTGTTATGGTTTTGAATATTTAAGTATTCTGTAAAATATTCAGCTGATATTTATCTTACCACTAGGGTAAACGTTTAAGCATTATTTCAGACAACACGGGTTTGAATGCCACCACAGGCAAGAGGGCAGAACAGAAATTATGCTGCGTGTTCATGTTTCGGTCTAGGCGAAACGCTTTAGTGAAACGGTTGTGGAAACAGCGGATAGTACTCGCCGTTGCCGATAATGAAGCCGTATGTAAAATGGAAAGTCATCAAGAGCTGGAAATGAAATCAGTTGTGCATTCTGTGTTAAAAAGACTTAAAGAGGCCCAGCTCGAGGCGCTTGTACAAGCTGTCGAGAGCCATGGGGCAGAGCCGTCAGGATGCGTGCTTGTTCCACGCGGAGATTTGCGTCTCGGGCGACGGACTAGTCCGCCGCATGTGATTTGCTGCCAGTTGTGGAGGTGGACTGATGTTTGGCAACCTTTCGAGCTGAAGAGTCTTCATTGGTGTGAAACTGCTAATGAACATATTTTGATTTGTTGTAATCCCTTCCATTGGAGTAGGCTGTATAAACCTGGTTAGTATTTTAAATGTTCATTTGGCATTTCGTATGTTTTTTAAATCAGTTGTACGAATTTTCTCACTTACCAACATCATGTTTATTGATTGAGTGGTGAAGTTTCTAGAGTCTGTGTATTAGAACTACGTTATCAGTCTTCCAAAGTTGTTTTTTTTGTCCAAGAACCGAACTTTGGTAGTGAAAAATAAGACATGAAATTTGAGATAATCTCCCTATAATTTTATCGAGAAAAACAAACCCCACATTTGTACATCTTAAGTTACAGGTTGTGGAGACCGTTGATTTCTCTACCACCCAACGATGGTACCATACAGTTCACCTTGACACTGACAGTCTCACCCCTCACGTAAGGATCCATATACTTGTATAAGGACTGACAAGTACTGTAAATCGTAACTGTAAAATATCCAATATTCATTCATTTAAAGTGGAGATTTGGAAAAATTGTAATATAAAGTATTTTGTTAGTAGTCATTAGAAGACAGAGGTATTTCAAAGAAATCAATGTTCTGAAAGCACAGGAAATTAATTATTTTAATCCTTAGGCCTAGCGTGAACTGAACAGAGTAGACACAGATTTTCATTCAAAGAAATCAATGTTCTGAGAGCACAGGAAATTAATTATTTTAATCCTTAGGCCTAGCGTGAACTGAACAGAGTAGACACAGATTTTCATTCAAAGAAATCAACGTTCTGAGAGCACAGGAAATTAATTATTTTAATCCTTAGGCTTAGCGTGAACTGAACAGAGTAGACACAGATTTTAATTCCTTTTTTCTACATTCTTATATATATATATATATAGTGGAGGGTATATAATGTCTTATCTCAAAAGATTCGTCATTCTTTTTTGATGTACGTGTTACACGACCAGAAGCAGTTTGTGGAATATCCTGCTCGTTGGACAGATTTGATTTATTTTTATTTTTTTTTTGTGCGAAGGAATATGACAAGTATTGGGGTTGTTGTTCGAGACCGAGTAGACTAGAGTGAAAATACTGTCGCTTCTTTTGTCGTAACGTTAGTGTTAACTAACAAAACTAATTGTATCATATCATAATAAAATATGCAGAATTTTCGTTTTTAGTCAACGTTTTTGCTTTTAAAAACAGCAGAATGCATATAATACAAGCACAGGTATTTTTTATTATTTTAAAAAGTCAAATTATGTTCAGTTTATTTTCTTGTTGAGCTCACGTTTTTTGTTTTAAATAACATAAAAAGAAGAAGCAGTTGAATTTATACAAAGTTTGAAATTGGTGCTCATCATAGCCATTTATTTGTACACTCATTAATTATTGTAATTAAACTTCATCTGATAATATTCATCTCGCCACTATTTATTTTGTTGTACTGACAAAAGTTTATAAAAACGTCTGATTACTGAGGTCTACGAAACTACTGCGTGAGACAAGAGTAAAAATTAGTTTTCTTTTATTTAGAGTGATAATATCAATAGTTTTTTCTCAAGGTTATTTATTAAGTTTCCCAAGTTTCAAGGATTCCTGAATATGTGTAAACATAACCACAGTTATCTACAAGAATAAATATGTTCTTATTTCAAACTTTATACCACCGTCGTAATCTAGGGTACGTATTACTAACATGTTCACGCACACAGCCGAACTCTCAAATAACGAGTGCCAGATCGTGATTCTCTGGTAGTCGGTGTGATTGGTAGGGATTAATATATGTCTAGATGGTGATAGTCTGGGAGACGCCACGCCACTGATTTATTCTGTTTGGTACAGGTGAGGCGGTACTCCTACATCGTGATTTAGAAAGTTACCCGCCTTCACAGGATTTTCTTCGGTGACAGTTCAACAGTACTGATGTTTACTTAAACGAAATAAAACACGAAAGGATAATAGAGCTTTCTGAGTGTTTTGATTTACACAAAGCTTTCTTGTATCTTGAGATAAAAGATCAAGCTTATCACAGTTTATCATATTATTGTATTGTTTGTTGTTATTCGTATTTATATAGTGATTTTTTCTACGTGTATAAAACGCAAGTGTAGGATTACTTATTTGTAGCATTTGTACCTTTCTTTATACAACTAGAAAATTTTCAGGAAAGCCTGTTTGTTTGTTGAAACAAGCCATTATTAAATAAAATACTTCGGTTATTAATTTGTTAAGTCTTAAAATTTATGTGAACACAGCTTAAACTTATTTGCCTTCCTCGTTCAGAGTGTACTTCGAACAAAGTGGACTGTGTTTTTAGTGAGACAGGTCGCTTGGCGATATAGATTCTCGAGCCCCCAACGGTTTACGCGAGCGACGATGTGTAGCACTCATTAGCTGCGTAGGCAGTTCTTTCTGCAGAACTAAATGTCTTTTCAGGTTCTAATTTAGTTTTTATCTTAAAAAAAAAAGATAATATATAATTAGTTGCCTAAATTATAATTAATGTAAAGAGAAAATTATCTTTTAACTCTAAATAAAGTTGGCTAAATAATATTAATTTTAAATTTATCAACAAAAAAAAATAACTTCTGGAAAAGTGTACATAAAAATTAACTATTTTGTAAGCGGTTTTACTTTCTTGAGCTGTACAAGAACAAACAACAGTGCTTTAATCCTGCCTGATGCTAAAACTAAACAAGTAAAAAAACAAACTCATTACAACCTCAATTATTATTGGTGACCAGTTGGGAACTTCCCACGATGGGAGCTATGTTGGAGCCCAGCAGGAGGAAGGGAGACTAAACTCTGACCCCTCTACCTGCTTGCATGTCCCACGTGAGTGGACAGACAGACGCCGTGTGTTTGTACACCTTTATTGCGCTGTCTATCTTGCTTATCAAGCGAACCACAATTAGGATGTGGCGCCGATGTCGGGTACATATGTGTGGACCCTTATCAACTCTCGCCAGTGTGGCTGCGATCTCATTCTATACTTCCACGTCGCCACGCTCCCAGACCGGAAGGAAAACGCTCATTATAATTTTTAATAATGAATTTAGTTGTTAACTACCAGGTGAAGATGTAAATTACATGAAACAAAAAAGAAAGGACTAGAATATAGCTCAGTCCCATTACACTAACTACCAACTTTCTTCTGTCTTCAAAAGTAACCGCGTTAATAAAGACCAAATTTACTGACTATCTCTCCCTCCCCCCTACAGTCCACGAGGTTTGTTTCAGATAAACTGAAAACTATTTGAATATATTATTATTGTTAATACTAGTTAGTAGCTGAAAATAAGGGTATCAGTAATAAAATATAGAACTGGTTACATTATACAGTACGGGATTCGAGTAGTTACCTGTGTGTATATATAGAACTGGTTACATTATACAGTACGGGATTCGAGTAGTCACCTGTGTGTATATAGAACTGGTTACATTATACAGTACGGGATTCGAGTAGTCACCTGTGTGTATATAGAACTGGTTACATTATACAGTACGGGATTCGAGTAGTCACCTGTGTGTGTATATAGAACTGGTTACATTATAACAGTA